GGCTTAATCCACATTTGGTGCTCTAGTGCCAGATGGTTTGTTACACAGAACCATCTGAGAGGCAGTCATTGGAAACTGTTTGGAAAACTTTAAAAAAATACTTGGCAAGTGATTGGATGAACCATCTGTCAATCAAACACTTGCTGAAGCCAGACGAGAGAAGAGCAAAAAATATATATTTTCCAGGAAGTAAAGCCTTCAGTGGAGTTCTTCGCTCTTCTATCAAAGAAGAAATACTCAACAGTTCTGATATAAATGGATGCTACTGCAGCATCTACGCTAACCTCTTTAGGAAACGGCATTGTTGTTTTTAACAAAACATTTGCCTCTTTGAGACGTCACACACCTAAACCACGTCTGTAGCTGGCAGTGGCCCCCATAGACATAGCAGTGGACGTAGTCATTGCAACGTCACCCATTGGTTTGTGGACTGACTTTTTGAAGCCTTGAGTTTGTCATTTTGGGTATCGCCATCTTGTTTTTTGTCCATCGCCATCATGGATTTTGTTTGTCGTCATCTTGTTTTTTGGACGTCGTAATCTTGTTTTTTCAACGTTACAATCTTGGTTTATGGTTGTCACCAACTTGTTTTTTAGTCTTCACCATCTTGGTTTTTGGCTATCGCCATCTTGTTTTTTTGCAAGCAGAAATGACACAAGAGGGAGACTTCAGATGACCAAAATGTTACATTTAACTTTCATGAAGTGAAAACACTCTGTGAAAGGATTCAAGTTGAAAGACAAAAACATGGTACGCTCCCAGACAAGGCGGTGGTAGAGACCGGTCAATCGCCGTATAGCCCCCCCCCCCCCCCAAAGGATACCCTGCTTTATGGTCTGTTTGACTCTAAATGGACCATCATGTACTAAATGAACATCATGCTGTATTGAAGAAGACTTGAAACTAGAGATTGAGACCATAAACTCATGTTTACAATGTTTACTGAGGTAATAAATCAAGAGAGAAGTAGAGTCATTTTCTCATAGACTTCTATACAACCAGAGGAGTCGCCCCCTGGTGGACACTAGAGAGAATGCAGCTTTAAAACACTTTACCATCGGCTTCACTTTTCTGAAAAAGGACGTTGCCGCCCGTTAGCTCTTTACAGGACGCTGATTGGTCCGGACATTACTTGAAGCCTTACAAGATAGATTTGTGTGTAATCTTGTTGTATTGCAAGAATCCAGCTGCCGTGCAAGGTAAGGTATGCGTGGCTTTGAGTCATTACCATGAAATGTGTTTTCATGGTAATGAAGGAACATGTCTCCCAGTGCAATGGTGTGATTCATTGATGTGTTTATAATGAAGCTCTATTGCACAGAGGAAGAAGAGATATCAGGATTTGGGCACACAGATTTTTACCCTTGCTTGAATCAATCAATGTTGGTTTTGGTAACAAGCATTAAAAGGTATAAGTAAGGCCTCTTCCTTAAATAAATAAATAAATGATGGTGATGGTAATGATGATAATAATTAAAAAAAATACCAATAAAGACAAAGTATCATAAAATGGTTGGACCATAAGACATCATTAGCCACCCCTGCCAGGAAAATTATTCTCCTCCCTCTCTCTCCTTTTATTCTCTCTCATTTCATTCTATTTCCATTTTGTCTCTTTTTGTTTGTTCAGCCCAGTCATGTTAATGCTGTCATGCCACCCAACGTGTTAAGCATTGTAGTAACGCCCGTCCTAACTCGATAAATACATTTAAAAAGGAAGTTGTTGGTAGTAGAAAGTGAAAATCCAGGATATAGTGTTGAGATGAGTCCAATAGATTCCACAGGTCAAAGTAAGTAGGTCAGGGTTACCAAAACAACAAAAGTGTTGGTGTGGGAAAGAGAGATAGAGAGATAGAGATATATAGAGATATATATAGAGATATATATAGAGAGATATATAGAGAGATAGATATAGATATAGATATAGATAGATATAGATAGATATAGATAGATATAGATAGATAGATATAGATAGATATAATGATTTCTTTCCCGAACGCTTTCTGCACCTTGACAGTTCATACAAGCATCATCCTCGTTTTTCCTTTTCGCCTTCATTTTTTTATTGCCTATCTATATCTTTCAATCTATCTAGGTCTTACTTTGGTTTCATCGCTGTCTCTGTGTCTGTCACCATGCTCTTCTAATTGTTTTCTCATCTCACTCTCCGGGGATGTGCAGGCATGGCCTTATTATCCCGGCTGATCAATGTGATTTATAGGTTTAGGGAGCGAGACATGCAAACTTTCTCATCTTCTGGGGATAAACCGAATAAATCAATCACACACTTTCACTGTGTGTGTGTGTGTGCCTGTGTGTGTGTGTGTGGGGGGAGGGGCCAATCCAGACCTGAAAACTACTTTCCACCAAAGACCATCATGGAAGCCGTAGCACTCTTCAAATCGAGCTTCTACCTCTAAGTTGTTCTCTCAAATACTCCATTTTATTCTTTATACTAGCATAGTGCTCTTACGCGTATGCTAAAAATATACACAATCTTGATGTTACTTAGCTGAAACACCTGGAAACACTTTTTTCCTCCATGACTTAGCATTTTGTGTGCATGTCACTACATTTATGCTGATTAATTTGTTTATGCCATTGCAGTACGCAGTACTTCTCCACAATGCAGATGGTCTCCTTGTTAACATAATCGTGTTGGCCCTCAGGAGGACAGCAGGAAGTCGTATAGCTGTGGAAATAATTTGATGGTAATTGCCGATTTCTTTTTTTCTCAAACGTTCATGTTTTTTTTTAACGGCATTCAGCTTCGTTAGAGATGAAACAGCAAGAAGAGCCAGACTTGATTCAGACCGAGATCGACTTTAGACTTGCAGCTTGTGTTTTTACTGATTGCCAACATGACTCAGACTGGCTGATAAAGGCTTAGGGACAATGCAAGCCCTCCAAAGATTGGATTGGATTAAAGCTACTCAGATTTTTCTGAAACCTCTCCTTAATCCATTGCTAATGGATCACACTGTGCACCTTCCAGGTGTGTGACGTCAAATCAACATACGGCAAGCTGTGTTAGTCGCAGCGTGACTTCCACAGGATCGATACCAATACAGTTTAGTATTCAGAATAAGCCTTAAGCACAAACAGAATGAGTGTGATGTGTATAAGACATTTAAAATATTCTGAATCATCTCTATTGAGCTCAGCAGAACTCTACATGCAGTAAGGTCAGGGTTGTTTTGGCTTCCTTTAGCACTGGCCTTAAGCTAATATCACTAACAAGTGGTGTTTGCAAAGTTGTGACAGGTTACAGCTACTTCAGCCAGGTCTCACCAAACGCTGTAGGAACAATTTGTAAGTAATTGAGCGTGCAAGAACACCACCATCTGCTCCTTACTCCATGTAGTCTGCACTGACTGCAACGTAATGCATGCAATATACTACGCTCAATAAAGTGACGTAGTATGTGTGTGAGTGAGAAAGACTACTTATTGTGGGTTGGAGGGTCAAACTCACAGAACCTGCAAACCAGAAGACCAGTGCTCATGTCCCAACGTGTTGTTGAGTTATTTAGTTTCGTTAGTGATGTCTTTTCCATACCCATGTTACGTTGTTTATGTTTTACTTGGTTTATGTACTTATTTTAAGCCCAACCGTGATGTTTATCCTGAACCTAACCAAGTCGTTTTTTTTGCCTAAACCCAATATCTAAACCCGTCGGCTTTCGGTCTGACAGCGGATAGGCGTCTGAGGCTAAAGTTCTGGGTTTGCATTGTAGCCAGCGGGTATCGGGGCCAAGACTTCATTTTGCTTGCGCTGCTCATCGTTCACGGTCCGATTAGAAACTTGAGACTGGAGAGAACGCTTCCAATACCAAAATATTGTTCTGTTGCCTACAGATGCAATGCAATCTCAGAACTCACCTGCTATCTTCGGACGACGATTTTGATTTGACCGTACCAAGTAGTTGTGTTGCCGTACGTATACGTAAAATATCTAGTGCGAAACATATATTTGGTTCAGCGTAGCCGTGGTTTGCAGAGACGTACAATGCAGACATTTCATTCTGGTGACTGGGTTGGCCTAAAGCACGTGGAGAACCACACAAGGAACAGCAGCAGAGCGTATGACAAAGCCTACATGTCACTACGCTCCTATATTGAGAGCTATTGACGGCTAAATTGCCTCGTCAACATAATTGGCCAATAAAGTTGACTCTGGTTGTGTTTCTATAGAAGGGTAGATATAATTGACAGTAATCACGCTGTAATCAAATCACAATTACAGCGACTGTCGCTGGATGATTTTTCTAATGGCTCAATATCTTCAATCAGCTCCAGTTAGACTCGTTTAAGGACAATTAATCATTGATTAATCAAGGGAGGAGGGTGGTAAATATTTACTTATTAATCATACACATTTCTTGTTTTGCTCATGATTATTTTATAAGCCACTTTTCTTATAATGCGTGCTCATGTGCGCGGGTGGGCGTCCCTGATTGCACATTCATCATGGATGTTAGACCATAATCTTTCATCCCTGCTTCAGACGGTCTGTGGATAAAAAAAACAGTGGTGAGCCAGGACCACAAAGTTAATAGACTATCACTCCCCGTAAAAAGAACCGAATGTACTATTCAGGAGGGTCGTATTCAAAGTGTGAGAGGGGTCGTCGCAAAAGCGAGGACGAAAGAAAAAACTGGGGGAAAGTGAGTGAAGCGAAAGAGTGTATTTTGAGTTCTGCGGGTTAATTCGGTGCCTGTCAGCTACAATTGCCATGTCTAAACATTCATGAGCCGTGGAGGGGATGGAGGGAGGGATGGAGGCAGGGAGAGGGAGGGAAGAGGCTGAGAGAAACGTGGGGAATGGATGGAGCAACAGCACAGCACTCAGACACAAGAGGGAGAGCTGGAGAGGCAGCTGCTGCGAGAGCTCGTCCACAACGCTTTGAGCAGGTAGAGCGAGCACGGGCAACTGAGGGAGAGCGAGCACAGGCAACAGAGAGAGAGAGAGAGAGAGAGAGAGAGAGAGAGAGAGAGAGAGAGAGAGAGAGAGAGAGACAGAGAGAGAGAGACAGAGAGAGAGAGAGCAGGCGGGGAGCAAGTCCTATCTTTTTCACCTGAAGATTACTTTGTCTTACACTGCTCTCACCCTCAGCGCTGGAAGTAGATGATCAGGAGGTGCCAGCTCTCGGTCTCTTGATCTTTTTTTTTTCCCCCCCGGGAGGTGGGGAGGTTCAGCTGGACTTCTCTACAAAACCCCGGTGATCAGCCTCTCCTGGAAGGACTGAGAAATAGAAACCGGCACTTGAAGGAGACAGGACTGAAAAAAAAAAAAAAAAAAAAAAAGAAGTGAGAAAACTGCAATAGATGGCTCTCTGGCTGCAAGGGAAGAGAAGTTACAGACAAATCAGCTTTTAAAAAGGTAGGATTTATGTTTAATATGCATCTGGTAAAAACTGTATTGCCTCAACTGGTGACTGACTGCTTACATGTGGATCAATATCAAATATTGTTTTGTTGCACACAACGATCAGAGCAACCTGTTACAAGGTAAGTCTTTGTCCGCTGCCCTTTTTAGTGCTCGCACACTGTCTCGCGTCTGTGTGTGTGTTGCAATCATGAACATCACATATTGACTTTGGAGAGCCGCCACATTTTCCCTTGTTTTATTTTGACTGAGCCACATGTGGTAAAAATGGTGCGACAACAAGGTAAAGTGGAATAGAGAGAAGGGTCAGAACACAAGAAGGTGAGCAGAGAATGAAGAGAAAAATTGTAGAGGGAGAGGTGAAACAAAAAGAGATATGTGGGAGAAACAGAGTTTGAATGAGCGGGGAGGGGAGGGGAAGGGGAGTGTGAAGGAGAGTTGGGCTGATGAAGATAGATAGAAAGAGTAAAAGAGGAATAAGAGGAGGAGGGATGGAGGACTGGAGTGGCGGAGGGGGCTCGCTGGCAGCCACCTCAGTAACCAAGGCAGCTGACATGAGGGAGAGCCAACGGGGGACAGTGGGATTTCTATTTTTCACCCTTGCCGAGATACGCCAGGGCTCTGCCAAGTCCCCTGCCTCATCCCCCCGGGATAAAGAATTCATTGTGCGGAGCTGTGACCGAATTCATTAAGCGTCTACATGTACTCTTTCCTGGCCACTCTTACTCACACTCTCTCTCCCTCTTTTTCTTCCCCGAACTCCCTCTCCGACTGATACTCCCTCTCTCCCCCCTTTTGCCTCATTATACAGTCGTCTCAATTGGCCCGACGATCAGCTCGACTTGTGTTGCATCAACAGTTGTATTTTGTAAAGCTCTGCAGAGAATAACAAACGCATACGGTCGGGTTCTTGAGGGAGGATAATCTGTCAATAGGGCCACTTTTGGCAAGACTGGCCCCAACGTTTATCCGCCTTGGCGCATCAGCCTTTATGCAGCTATAAGGGTCACGGGCGGTTAAATACGCGGAGGCTCGGTGACATTGCCGGCGTCATGGGAATTTGGGGAATTTTAGGGCAGTTAAGGGTGTGAAATCAGGTTGACTTTTTGCAGTTTGAATGTCAAACTGAAATGCTGTAAATAGAGAAGAAAAAACAAAGCTGTGTATTCAGTATTTTCTTCCATTTCTTATTTAAAACTACAGGACGTGAACACATTAAAGTGATTATAACATATTATTTAATACTAACAGGTGAATCACATGACTACCTGTGTGTGAAAGGGGTTGCTTGCAGTGACAAACCCACAGAGTTATCACCCCACTCTGCAGTTCCTCTCAGCTCAATTGAGTTTTTTTATTGTCTTTCAGCTTAATTTTTGGGGGTTTTACGACCTGCAGCTTTACGGTTTTGGTCATTAAGTTTCTTTTTCAGCAGCAGGCAGCTGTGTTCAGTGTAAAAGCTCTGAAAACCAACTTACAGCTACCTGCCGAGCACCACACAAAGTTACATTTGAATGGCTTCTCACAGTTTTCTTTGAATAAATGACTATCTAAGAGGTCATAGTGAAAACAAAAGGTCGTTTTAGAGAAGGGGAAGACGGAAATGTGCAAAGCTTGGTTCAAATGGTTTTTGCATGTATTCACTTGATGTATTGGTCTATTCATGCCTCTCCAAGTCATTATCCCTTTAGGTTAAAAGGCTCCTTATTGTTTCTGGTACGTGAGACACTTTGCTCGTGATGAAATCAATAGCCCAGTAAAGTCCTAATTGAATGACTGCAGGGCCTGGTGATGCTTTATGGGACACCAGAAGGCGCCTTTGAGAGCATGCAGAATAACAAGGACGCTGCCGGCATTGTTGTGGTCTGGGAAACAACGTCCTGTCAATCAGCCAGGCCTGGCAGGCGTCAGCGGCAGTGTGTTAGGGCTTGTACACTTGCCATGTTACGCTTGAGCTCGTCGCTGGTGTCAGATTACCTCTAATTAGCTTTTTGCTATTTTGAAACACAGTTTTTTTCTTTGGGCTCATTTGTTGGTTATGCAGCACAGTAATCTCAGTGCTACGCCACACCGAGGAGTGGTACCGGAGATGTCATCGCGGTGATCGAAGACAGAAAACACACCCTTGGTGCGGCGACAGTTGACAGTAAATGGACGGATGTCAAAACTAGATGATGTTTTCTGTACAGGAAGCCGTCTCATGTTATTTTGTAGCAGCGTGAATCCTTTGGTTGGAGCTGAAACCCATCTGTTTGAGCTGCTGATGGATTGACTGACCTCGGGGCTCTTGTCGCCACTTCAACACAAGCATACGATTACAATGCATACTTTGGGAGGTTCACGCTCACGCTGCAGAATCTCCCCCATCACTCAGTTAACCAGTTTGTCTACAATGGAAAGGGTGTAGATGCTTCACAGTGGATATGTATGGTGAATTAGAATCACTTTAAACTGGAATGAATGGAAGTCTTGAACATTTAGTGGATTGAATAGTACAACTAAACCAATTAAGGACAAATGTTTTACTAAATAACTTTAAAGGTAGAGTTCGCAGGATTTGGTGGCATGTAGCCTTGTGGCTGCAGATTGAAAACCACCCCCCCTCCCCGAGACCACCCTTACCTCAAAAACACTATTACTACTACACCTTTTGAAGCAACGGAAGTCAGATAGCAGCTGGTGGCATCACGTTTTTTTACTCAAGCAAGTTGGATTGTCCGTTCTGGGCTACTGTAGAAACATGGCGGTGCAACATGGCGGACTCCATGAAGAGGACCTGCCCCCTCTGTAGATATGAAGGGGCTCATCCAAGCTAACGAAAACACAAGTTATTTTTTTCAGGTGATTATACACTGATGAAAATAATATTATATTCCATTTCTGCTAATAAATCCCCTGAAATGTTGCACACTGGCCCTTTAACTCTTGTTACTGCCTTGTTTTCTTCTAGTTAATTGGAAGCAGAGGCTCTGGCTGGTCTGTCTGGCTCTATATTCATAATGACGATTCATCGGCTAACAGCTTTTTCCTGCTTCAAACTATTGTTCTCATATCAGCCTTTTAAAAATCCACTATTGGTCGACCTCTGATGGGAAGTAATAGATAGCATAAAAGAAAATGTCAACACGCACTCTCAGAAATGCTGTCACGTGTTTACGAAACCACCGATCCAATCTGTACAATCATACTGTCTAAATCGATCATTTTTGTAGGTATAGCTGGATTTATCAACACCCCAATGTTGATAAATCCAGCTATTGTCTTAATCAGATTACTCTTTATTTGTGTGAATGCATGTAGTCAGTGTTTCGGTGGAAATATAGATTTGGTTTTTCTCAATTTGCACAAATTGCCATATTTCATAGAGACTAATTATCTATTGAATTACCAGAACACATGCTATAGTAGGATATGTATCAGTACTGAGATATGAAATTACCTATATTAGGACAGAAGATTTTGGATATATCGCCCAGCCCTAAAAGGGTTAGAAATGTTATCAGTTTTAGCAAAACACGTCTGCACTTTGAAAAGACTGCAGTGTCTTCACAAAGAGTTACAGCCAGCACTTATTCCAGATGCATCTGTTTAGCACTCCAAGTTAAAGAAGAGGCACATGGTGGACAAATGGACCGAGGCAGCTAAAAATACAACAGTAATTTAAACTGTCCGCAGCAATAAATCTAATACAACTCCTCCACCTTAAAGAACACCTACAACAAGTAATAAGTTTATTCCCGTGACATTCTGAGTTCCTAAACACAAGCAACACCTCCCCCTCCCCCCTTTTTTTCCCTCAGTGTGTCTAAAGAACAATAATGTGTGTGACTCATACGTGTGCACGGCCCATTGCTTGTGTGTTAGTTGGAACAAATTCCTTAATGCTGGAGCCTGATCACGCACCAGCAGATGCAGGTTTTCGTTTCATTAAGCTGCTCCTGCAACTCAAAACTCAGACAGTGAATTATTCCATCCCCTCTTGGGTTGAAGAAAGCAATCATGTTTTTCTTTCTCTCCTTTTTACCAGAACTGACTCTTAGGTAATGCATCCATTCAAAGTGAGAGTTGCTCAAAGTGAGAAACACCTCATCTCTGAAATTAATTTGAATTGATTCGCCCTGGTCCTTTCCCCCCCTTCTGCTCTAACAGGGTCTTTAGAAGGAAATTTCAAACGATAAAGGCTACATGTGAAAATCAATTTCTAAATGAAGCAGATCCGAGAGAAGAGCCGTCTCTCCCAGTAGTCCTTCCTGTGGACAGGAGAGCAGGCTGAGCACATACTAAACTGGCTTTTACTGTTGCACGGTAACTAACACACTGTAGACCTCATTAGTTTTCTCAGACCCAATTGGGAATTTGATGTATGAAAAGACAGCTTTGCCTGTGTTAATTAATTTACTTGATTGTCATTATTTGTTTGCACTCATATTGCTCATTTTTTATGATCAACATGACAAATTGGCAATAAACCGGAACGACAGAGGTTAAAGACGGTTTGAAGCCATCTGGTCTGCTGTAATAATTTTTAGTGCAGTGTACAGACACCTCGTCATCGCCCAAGGAAAAACAATGGCTTTGCTACAGCTGTGTTTCATGAGAAGACCCTATTGTTCCCTCGGACCCTATGTTGCCCGGACCCTATGTTCCCTCAGACACTATGTTCCATCGGACCCAATGCTCCCTCTACCTTACGTCTCTCAGCTTTATGATCCATCAGCCCCATTACCCCTAACCCTTATGTTTCCTCAAATCCAATGTTCCCCCAGCCCAATGTTCCCCCAGACCCTATGTTCCCTCAGACACTATGTTCCATCGGACCCAATGCTCCCTCTACCTTACGTCTCTCAGCTTTATGATCCATCAGCCCTATTACCCCTAACCCTTATGTTTCCTCAAATCCAATGCTCCCCCAGCCCAATGTTCCCCCAGACCCTATGTTCCCTCAGCCCTAATTAAGTTGATAGGTAGACTTACCACGAGCTAGGAGATTGCAA